CTCCGACCCGAGTGCACTCATCATTCAGAAGGGTACCGATAAATGAGGAGGGCACTGCGTTCAGCTAGGCGTCTCTCTTCATTTTCTTCTTCATACTCGTCCGTCATTTCATTCTCACTTTCTTCCATTTTCCTGCTGTTTCACTGTTGTAACTTTCTGTCTCTTCTTGTTCTTGATCTTCCATTTTTACGTCATTCAATTCATTTCTGCCTCTGAACTGATCTGCATGTGCCAGTATATTTTGTCCCTTTTTCTCAAGTATAGCCGTTGTTGTGTCCTTTTTGTATCAGGAATCTTGCTTCCTCTGACCAGCCTCTTTATTCTACCATACCTTTTTTCGTTGAAAAGAACATAGTTATGGGGTCTCTGATTTGTCTTCTCATTAATGCTGAAGGGCTCAGTTTTCTTCCCGCGTGTGGAATGGATCTGTAACTGAGGAGCATTTTTGATAGATACGCTTCTATGCTTTCATTAAGGGGTGAGAATGCTTTAATCTCATTTTTACCGTTTGTACCATTTACCCCTATCTTGTAATCACCACAAATCCTTAAATAATAATAATGATAATTTTCTTTTAGTCGAATGCTTGCTTTCCTTTCAATAATCCTATTTCATTTTCTTCTGCTTCCATGGAATTGATTAGACTTGCTGTGTCTACTTTTAATACATCAATTCCTAGTAATCCGTGTTCTTTTTCGCATTCTACAACTGTAATGGAAATTACTTTAAAATGCTTGTTGGTTTCAAAATTGCCTTGAAATGTACCCATTATTTTTATAGTCGTTCCATCAAATTACTTTAATTTGATGTTGCTTTTTTTAATTTAGGTCGTCCTAATTTTATACCGAATTTTTTTTGTATCAACGCGATTTCACTGCCTATATCAACTTGCATGTTAAATATTTGGCCATTTACCCTTACTTTTTTCTCTACTTCTTTCTTGTGTATTCATTGTAAATATTTCAGCTTCTTCTTCGGAGGGAGATTGTACCGTTTGTACTCTTTCTATTTTCTTTTCGTATTTGCATACGTTCTGAAAATGATCTCTTTTTTTTTTTTTGCAATTTGAGCATATTTTTTTCCTAGAGCTGGACACTTGTACTTGTCTCTTTCGTGATCTTTTCTACAATATCTACACTTAATTATGTCGTGTTCGTCTTGTACGTCTCGAATTCTTCTTTTGGTTGATTAAATTCTCTGATCAACTTGTAAAAACTCGACGCTAGCTTCCAAACTCATGCTACTACTCTGTAGACATTCCAGTATTTTTCGTTTGTGGTTTTGGTATTGCAAGCCTTCAATTATTCTGAGAAGGATTAATTCGTCTCCTACAGTAATTTCCCAAGCTCCCAACTTTTTAAATTCACAATATTTGGCTCGTTCTTTCAATCTATGTAAGTATTATATAATGGATTCATTTGGTGCGTATCTTGTCTCTAAAAAATTGGTTCTTTCAGCAATGACCAATCTTTTCTTTGGTCTTATGTTCTAAAAAGAACAATTTAATTAAGAACAATTTAATTTTAACAATTTCTTCAAATGTCATTTCTTCTAATTCGCTCGGGTAACACATTGTTGAAATTTCTTTCACAGCTTCGCACCCAGCGGTAGCAAGAAATAAATCCGTTATCTCGTTCTCTCCTCCGTCGGTCTTTGTGTCTCTTAATTTTTTCACTCTTGCAAATGTAGCAAAAGTTCTTATCAATGTTTCTATGTGTTCTGGGTTGTCCAGCGAATTTAACGATCCTATCGGCGACGCTATTGTTATGTTTGGTATATCTCTCTGTGTAGTAGCAGTCGTAACACAGTTCTCCACGTTACGTTTAGCAAACGGGTATGCTATGCATAACCTCTATGTTCGCCAGTTGTTTTATATTTATACTTGTCTGCCTAATTTGCATACGATACTACAAATTGTTTACGTGTGAACATGAACATGCCTAAAATACACCCAACACGCAAACTTTAAATTCCATACTACCGTGGATGTTTCTATACAAAAATATTTTCATTTATGTTGTCAAGATTAATAAAATGTTTCAAACACCAATTTATAATCATATAAACATGCGTTGATCAATTTTATTTCCGACATTGACATTGTGGGTAAGTGCCTTATAATTCTTGGTATTATTCTGAAATAAAACGAGCCGAAACAATGGAATAAAATAAATACTTGTTAATATGTATGTATTAAGGGTTTACAATGTGTCCGGGCTATATCTGTTCCTTGTGCCCATATCTGGTCTATATGTATGTGTGTGACTGTATGTATGTGTGTGTGTTTATATATGTATGTGTATGGAGATGTGTACATTTGTATACATGTATGTATGTGTATATGTATACACACGTTTGTGTGTGCGTGTATTTGTATACGTTTATAGGTGCACGTATTTGTGCTTATTTACTTGTATGTATTTCTGCATTTACCTGTGTGTAGGTATCTGTGTTCACGCATTGATTTGTGCAGGCATGGGTACAGTCTTATGGGATTGAGTATGTATTTGCTTGTACATTGGTCGTTTCTTACGTTTATTCTGATTAGATGTGTATGTCTATACCTGTATCTGTGCCTCCCCGTGTTGTGTTTGTATGTATGTGTGTGTATATATGTATATGGGCATATATATATATATATATATAGGTGTGTGTGTGTGTGTGTGTGTGTGTGTGTGTGTGTGTGTGTGTGTGTGTATATGGATGTATGGGTATGTATATGTTTAGAACTGTATAGTTATACGTCCCATCTACTACCGATTCACTACTTCCCTTCTCCTCCCCCCTTCCCCTCTGCTACATTGTCGGGTTTTAGCATGTTGAACTATTGGTTAATGCTTGCTGATATTGATATGGGGCGTAAACAGGTTTATTGGTAGACTTACCTCCTGCTTTCATCCTGATAGTTTACATTCTTATGTTAGTTTATTAAGACCAAAGAACTTGACACCCTATTAACATCGAGGTGAGAAGATTCTAAATAACTTAAAATTTATTCTAAATAACTTCAACAGAAATCCAACACGGAAGTTAACTTCGAACTCATCATAGGCCCGACGCTTGATTGAGTTAATCGAGGTCGCCCTCTAACATGTTAGAAATTTAGGCCTTTTTTCCACCTTCCCCGTTGAGTGTATTGCTGTTTTAAAACCATAAAATGACCGTCTATTCTCCAGTTGAGTACCACCGCCTGAAGAAGCACATACAATGTCGAAACAGGATTGCATTTATGTAGCGGTTTATAACATGTTTTTTGTTATAATTGTTAATGAATATTATTATTATTATTATTATTATTATATCTAAAAGGTTTTAGGAAAACAAATGCTTTAATTTTAATTCTTTTTTTTTTATATTGTAGAATTAGATTTCTACATTCTCCGTTTTAAATCTGTTAAAAGAGGATCACAGCTAAGTATTCTCAGTTTGTGCTGAACCCATTAATATTGGCTCCAGAGTTCAATATGAAACAATGCTTTCTGATTGGTCCATAAATAATAATGTCATGTTTCTTCTGCCTGCATCCGCACGGTTGACCTCGAGTTGACCTATTCAGAGTTCAACGCGTCAAAAATAGGTAAACATTCTCTCGAGCCTCCCACGTGATCAAGAAAACTCGTAAATATAAAACTTCGACACGACTTAAGAAGGCGACACGCAGTCTCTGACTTCTGTCGAACTCTCTTGCTTTGCCAAAAGGCAGAGTTTCACCCGGGAAGGTAGACAGATCCCGAAACCGCTTATGCGGGTTCTAAGGCTCGGAGAAACCCACGTTAAACCCGGCCTTGTGCCACATACATTCCTCGTGGGGGCTGTTAAATATCGACCTTAAAATAATCCACTCGTCACACAAATCAATGAAACCCATCTTCCTCGCTAAAAGTTAATTTTTATTAAAATGAAGCCGGCTTGTGGAATTCAATTTTTTTTCAATATCAACTCATCTAGTGACGAATTCAACCAAGACGAGATTCAGAAATCAACTCACTCAATATCTTAACAACATAAAGGAAAATCGTAACTATATCAGCCGAAGTGAGACAACTCTACTGTAAGTCAAGCAATCTATTTCATTCAATTTCACCATTAATATAAACTGTTTAATTCCTAACCAGATCTGTAGCATAACACCTTTTATATTACCCTTGATCATACAACCAAGAACTCTAAAGTGTTTTAAACAACTTTATTATATCGTGTGTACTTGTTATATAAAAATATTTTCTGTTAAAACAAATATCTGCTTATTTGATTATTTCTCTTCTTGTTGTTGTCTTTGTTGCATTTGATTTTGTAAAAATAGACGAGGATCAGTTTAATTTGTATTTTGTCACCGATACAATATATATTTTTTATTTTCATATTTTATCTTATCGGGTCTCACTGTACAACACAACATACACTCCAACATGGAACTGGTGCTTGCGTGTATGGGTTTTTGTGAACATTGTGATAATTTTTTTTTGTTAAACGTGCTAAAAATGACACAAACCGTTCAGTTTCATGGAAAAGGAGAAATTAAAATACAACTTGGTCCTAAATAACATTTGATTTAAATGCGCATGCACAAGTTTTTGAGTTTTACTGGAGCATAACATTGAAAGAAACTTTTAGACCGATTTACACAGATTTTGACTTAAAAAGAGTAAGTGTAATAATTGTACTAAAACTGTAATTAAAAGAAAAAGAACTGTATTGAATTTAAATTACAATAACTAGATTTTATCATCTATTCCCCGCTATTGTGGAATCTGGACATATTTTATTTACAATACTAGGTATCCATAAATATAGAAAGGTGACCCTTAGCACTTTTAACAGTAACGACCAATCAGAAACAAGTTTAGCATCTGTGACTTATTTTATCGTAAATCATTCAATATGTCTAGCCAATTTTAAAGCGAAGTTAATTAGTGGATTTTCTTTTTTTTCTGCATTAACATTTATAATTTAAACAAAATAAAATGCAGGCTAGAGTCGTATCTCCTCACGTTGTACGGATGTCAAAAGTTATAAAAACAATTATTGAAAAACGCACAAATAATCTAAGCTACGAGGCTTCAAAACTGCAATGCGATAAACCAAACATACGCTCCACAACTGAAAAATTTATGGTGAGTAAAATATTTACTTAGTGCTTAAAACAAAAGACATACACAAAAAATGCACAATATTTGTAAAATTTTGAGCCAAAAAGTGAAGAACGACAATTCTCTCCTTTTAAAGCAGAAAATACAAAAATAAAGCATTATAAAAAGTTTGATTTTATTTTAAAAAAAAATGAAAATAGTGAAAATGATACGTTTTAAATAGAATCGAGAAACAATGAACACATAGAAAAAATGAATTAGAGATATTGAAAAAGTGTTTTGTTTGTCACCTTTTTTTTTTTGGAAATTTTATTTCGACGATACAAAAAGCAAATAATTAAATAAAAATTCCTCTTCAACTGATATTGCTTATCGCGTGGCGAGAAAATATTCTTATCACAAATGAAATAAATAAAAAGCTGTCAGTTGTGCATAATATTTTTAAAAAAGGAAAAATTAATTTTATTTCTCTTGAATCGGTCTTTTTTTTTTATTTATTTATTTGCATGCTTCCATTATCACCGTATGTGTTTTTGTGACTTTGACACTCACCACCTAAATTTCCCGAAACATGAGTAATAACAACTAAGATATGTTTCATAGTCTGGATGTATAAATTATAAATAATGATTGATTAATTCATTTACAAAATTCCGACATGAAACTTTAATGCTTAATCCTGATATGCACACACAACGCTCCATGGGAATTTAACTAATAATTATTTCGTTACGCATTTTTTTACGAAAATTGAGACCTGGCCAAAAAAACAAAAAAACTCCCGCACTTTCTAAAATCTTATGTTTAATCATTTCGTCATTAGCAAAAAAAGATTAGAAAAATTCTCAAATAAAAATTATTTTTGAAGGCTTTTTAACTTTTTAGTTTTTAGTTAGTAAAGTAAAGTGGGTTTTAAAAATTGTTTATTGTAAAAAAAAAAAAAAAAAAAGTAGTTTAACCTTACAAAATTAAAAGTAAACAGTGAACGCAAATTACATTGGAAAAAGAAATATCTACTTTTTAAAATTCTTTAAAAAAAAAAAAATCAGATAGTTATTGGGTTTTAGACTAGTACTCTAAAACTTTCAGAATTTATGAAATTGTCGTTTACCGCCACCACCTCACTTCACTCACGTATTTTTATATTTACAAAAATCATAAGAAAAAAATGAACAGGAACTCTTGACAAACTGAAGTATATAATAATTAATTTAAAATTATATATTAAAAAAATTCTCCTTGTGTATACTTTATGTCCTGAATCGTAAGAAAAGAAATGAAGAAGGTGTTTTTCTTAATTAACTTTGCACGTTTTTGGAGGGCAAATATAAATCTAGCGAAAAATTAATTTTTCAAAGGGTTTTTTTTTTTGCTTATGTTTTAACTAAAGAATTCTTTTTAAATACTTCGAGAACACTCAGGAAACCTATTCAACAAATACTAATAAGTTTGACAAATCGAAAAATAACAAAATGCTCTTTAAAATAATAAAATTATTTTTCAAACTACTGTTTGGTATTAATTTTTATATCTTCAAGAGTCCAAGATATTTCGAGTCGTCGGCCTTTCAGTAGGTAACTCCATGAGATCGCTAAAAAAAAAAGAACATAGCATGATGAAAAAGACGCCAAACTTGACGAAAACAAAATTTTATCGTCTAAATGTTTGTTATTATGAAGAGGAAAGACCAAAGTTTTTTTTAATTATTTTTTTTTTAATTTTTTCCTTCTTTTTAGAACATTATAAATTTTGAAAACTGTTTCTCTTTGTATCACCGGAACTAATAAAATAACATATACATACATTATACAATACCAAAAAAAACTTTTTTTTTTTTTGTCGGGTGCTAATGAAACTTTCAGAAACTATTCATAAAGTAAATTTGCTTTTTAACACCCGCGCTACATATTTTAAAATGTTCCCAAATCGTCATAATTCCGTGTAAATGTACATGTTGAACATGCGGAGTAATTTTAAACGAGTAAATTCAGTTAAGAGCAGTAAAAAGGCTCAATTAAACCTCCGCTGGCTAAATGTTCAGCAGTGAATGTAGTTAAACAAGGCCAGTAATGGCCGACAACTGAACACGACTGATTTCGAACTTTTATTGTTGATAACTCCAAAACGGTAGGTTTCTTCATAATTTAATTGTTCATTCGAGTTCAGCATGTACATTTATACGGAATTATGACGATTTGGAAACATTTTAAGAGATATTTAGCGCGGGTATTAAAAAGCAAATTTGCCATTCATAGAAGTTGGAAAATGGAAATTATTATAATTGTTTTGCTTTTTTTTATGAAAGTCATGGCAGAAATATTTTTATATATATTTATTATCATTCCCCATAACTAATTTTATGAAAACTCTAGAAATTTGATTGAATCCAGTTTAATGATTAATAGTTAAAACTAAAAGCACAAGGCTTTGAGGAAGGCAAATCATTTTTTTTTTTTTTTTTTAATTGCCCCCACCCCACCCCAGCTCTGAATTGTAACATACAAAACTCAATGATACAAAGATATTATTTAATTTCAAATGCTTTTATTTGCTTTTATGAATATGGACAATATTTTCTGAAAGCAAAACATTTTTTCGATGAAAAATGAATTTTTAATACAATTATTTGTTATTTCTTTAATTATAATAGATTTAATACATTTAAGTTGTTAAAATATTATAAAATTAGTTAAAAGCTGCATACACTTTTGTAAATGTCCTTATGAGATGGATCTTTTTTTTTTTTTTTACCACATTGTAAATTGTATCATTTTGACTAATCAGAAGACCCGCAGTAATTAAGAAATGTAATTTTGTGTTTATAATCGGGTTGTAATTATAAAGTATGAAAGACCAACCAGAATACAATTAAGTTGCTTTGTTTGAGTTAAGCGTTGTTCTCCGCTGTTAAGGCCTTTACTTTTGTGAAACACGTGTGAAGAAGTTAATTTGATTTTTCAATTTCAACTGAGAAGGGTACCTACAAGTATTAGTATCATCTTATGAAATTTATATGATCTTATTTTTATATTAATCTCAGTTATGACAGCTTTCCATAAATGAAATATCAAAATTAATAAAATGAATGGAAATACAAATAACACAGTAAAATGTAATAAATGTACATAAAATTATAGTATTTTATGTACACTTCTGATAAAATTTCATAAGAAAGGTACCTATAAATTAATTAGATACCTTTCTTATGAAATATGAAATTTAATCTCACTCTTAAGTCTTATTCTAATTTCTTTATATTTTCCATAAAGCATCGTAAAGGTGAAAGCTGAGTACAAAAAAAAAATTAGAGTGCTGAAAGTTTTCCTTAAAAATAATGAAGTAAATAATTTGTTCACTTAAATGTAAATAATTTCACTTTTCTCCTTCCGTAGAACAAATTATCCTCACATAATCTGTCAATACGTCATTCATCACCTGTCAAGAAATGCGAAATGTTATGACCAGCTTTTTCAAACTACATCTTTTCAGCACAGAAGCTAAGTTAAGCTTGGTTCAAAATATTTTAAATAAACATTATAATTTCTGATTTTCTTAAAATAAGTTTTGAAAAAATAATTGATTTTTAAATAATTTCAAACTGAGATTTTCTTTTTTTTTTTTTTTTTTTTCTAAAATATTTTTAACAAAAATTTTGGACGTGCTAGGAACAATTAAAAAAAAAATGTAAGAAAAAATACTTTGATCTTTCCAAAAATACTTTGATCTTTCCTCTTAATAATATCATGAACATTTAGATGATAAAATTTTGTTTTTGTCAAGTTTGGCATCTTTTTCATCATGCTGTGCTCTTTTTTTAGCGATCTCATGGAGGTACCTACCTTATAATGCTTTATCACTTTTTTTTTCACTTCACTTCTTTTTAATTTCTAATAAGTTATATAGTTACTCAAAAGAAATAAAATCCTAAACTAACTCATGATTCTCGATTGTTAAGGATAAAACATGCTCAGGACAAAAATGTTTTTTAAATTTGTCAGTTTTGTTCGTTCGTGCATGGTGGAAGACAAAATGGCAATGGAGGTTAATATATCATATCATAGTCACAGATAATGGATGCGCTATGGAAAAAAGATTTATTCTCTCATCCCCCATATGGGCATTATTATATCAATACTATAATAGCACTTCACAGGCAGAACAGAATGACTGAAAGGAAAAGGAATAACAAATTATGCTTTGTTCTCAGGAAGTGTTACAGCTAAGTGCTAAGTCATGCACAAAATTATGTATACATATTTACATGTCTCATGCAGAGAAACTATAACATGAGAAACAGAGTAAATGGAGAACAAAAATAGGTCTTCTGTGTTTTTGAAGAAGTTATATTTAGGATTCAAGCAGGCAAAATGTATCTGCTATGTCCCTAACTAGGACATATTCTACAAGCGGTAAACAGCAAGTCTTGTTGGTTTTTTTTCCCAACATGAGTACAGCGAGCCGGAGATATTTTCTATATGTGGTGAATATATATTTCCATAGAAAAACGGTGCCATAGGTTTGTAAGCTGCACCATGTGGCTGAGGCAGATTTAGTTTCAGCATGGGCCAAGAGGCTCAAGTTAAAAAAGCTACTACTCTGACTCCTTGAAGCTGACTTACTGACTTACCACTATGCAGTGACATTACTAAGCAACTGTCAATGTGACCCACATGATTTCATCTCCACCAAAGGGAGATAATCACATTTGTATCCCCGCAACAGGAAATATTGATGAGTGCATCAGCTATTGACATGAGTGAAAAGGGGGGAAGTTAATACATTAATTGATTGATCTTTAATCCATGTTCATAAGAATAGAGAAACCTTTTTAAGAATGCAAGTACAGCATAGCAAAGATTAAGACCTAAAATCTCATATGCAATTGGAGATATGCTGATTTCAGATTCACAAATGTAGTAGCATTTGCCTCCACTCTCACATAGTTTCCCCACACACATCAATGATATCACTTCTCATATTGCAGGCTATATAATTATTTAATTCTCTAATGTGCAGTACTGGTATTAGTGGTAGCACCCCACTCCTGACAAGGATGCTTTCCTCAACCCACCTCTCCTTCTCTCTCAAATTCAAATCCGCTCCTTTCTCTGCACAGAATTTTCATACATGCCCACCCAGTTATTCAATGCATCAAGTGCCACTCTACTAACCATTTGCTGCACTCAAATTCAGCACAAAAATTCTCATCTTCAATCTTGTAAGAACTCATCTCTCTGGTTTGCCACTTGTCTGTTAAATCTCACTATTTCTATCAGCAGTGACACTCCTTTCCAGGTTAATAATTACATACATCCTGATGATCACATCAATTACATCAAGGATGTGATCCAATACAATCACTTGCAATATCCAATTGCATCCTGTGTATCAATAGTTGTATAGTACTGAAACTGCTATATTTAACTTCTCTCTGATCAATTGTTTTATGATTACACCCCCACTCCCCACTCCATCCTCTCACTAATCTAGTTGTCATCAAGGTAGTGGACCACCTGATGTCCGCAAGTGCTATTGTTGCCTTTTCCCCTACCAGAACCTTCATGGTTGGTAATGGTTAGTGATGCACTGGTATTGATTAGATAATTAGCTACTAGCACCATAGCCCTGCTTTGCCCATTTCCCTGGCAACAATATCTAGTGATATGCCCTTTTCTCCACATTCATAGCAAGTATTCTTTTATTATGTGCTGTTCTTGACATCTGATATGTATTGTCCAGTAAATTCCCCTACTTGTTCCTTACTCCCTCTCTTTAGCTGCTGTCCCTCCAAGTTCCTCAGTCCTATCAACGGTTATCAACTCACTTACCTCCAGATAAAAAATCTATTGAAGTTTGATTGATATACAATCTGGAAATCAGTTACAAATTCTAGCTTAATGATTCTTTCCAACTTTTCCTGTTAACATAGACATCAACTGATTCACCTGTCCACCTCACTTCTCCAATTCTCTTTAAAATACAAAGAACCCATTTGTAAACAACTTGAACTTGCTCTTTTCAGGATCCACTTGGTCCTCTTTGCTCATTTCCATATAGAGAACCAGCACTTCCTCTTTCAGGAATAAAAGCATAAAGCTTGCTAGGTCTATGATCTGCTGCAGTATGGCAACTTAAGCTTCTTAATCCAGACCACTACAGACCCCCCTCCCATACTCATCAGTTTCATTATGTTGTTGGTCAAACACTCTTTTGCCTCCCCTTCCATTGCATTTTCTACAGATGCCAAAATAGCTTATGGTTTGGACTTAAGAAATCACTAATACTCACCAGTGACATTATATCATTGAAAAAAAATGTTCCCTTTTGAGAGGGAGAAAATAAAAGAAAAAAACAACTTAGGCAAAAAAGAAGAAAAATAAATCCTAATTTTTACTGATTCAAAGGCAGTGTTTGTACCTGTTACCACTCTTGTACCAAGTCTACACACTCTCACTTTCTTTCTTTCCATCTTGTCTTATTCTCTTCCTCACTTTAACTGCTTAACAAGAAAAGAAATGATGGAGCACAACTGCTACACCTTATTCCTTTTATTAATTCCTTTCTTCTTCCTGTTTTCCCACCCACCTAAACAATGCATAACATTTCCTTCTTTCACCCAATAAATGTCCCACTTCTCTTCATTTCTTCTAGTTTTCTCCAGAATGTCACCAATGGTGAGGAGAAAGTAGGTTAACATATCTATTTATCTCTAATCACAAACCTGATGATAACTGGTGACTGAGTCAACATGCATATGTATGCTGTAAAAAAACTGTGTTGTAGACATTAAAAAAACAATTGTTACCTTTCCTATATTCATATTTATTTCACTATGTGCCAAAGTTATTAATTCACTGTGAACCTCCAATTGGGAATAAATTTAGAAAGTAACATTATAATGATCACATATAGCAAAAGACTAACCAACTTAAGGAGTTTGTTTTCACAGACAATAAACAAAAGTTATATTTTTCTATACATCACACATGTTTGTGGTTCATCAATTTTTTTTGCGAACATAACTTACCTCATGCAGAAAGCGACACTCGAAGTAGGATGTCTAAGCATATCCAAACTCTTAACACTCACCAACAACTCAACTTCACAAGAAGTACTGCCATAAGGAACTTGACAATTACTGCCAAAAGGAACCACAGTTTCTGATTTGGCTAACATGATAATGCAACATTTCGCCATTATGTTATATCTAGTATTTTCAGGAATTTTTCAACCAGAAATAATAGCAAGAATGGGTATTTGCATCCACTAGATGTTAAGTTCAGTCTTTTAGATAGGCAGTGGGGGAGCAATATCACATAGATTGAGAACAAAGAACAATCAGACAAATGCAAGAGCTCCATTAACAATTCTCACAAGATTAGTGGATATATCAAGCATTTATGAAAAATTAAACATTAGCCAAATTTTAGTGATAAAAATAATGTAACATATGAAGACAGTGAATAAGAAAAAAATAAATTTAGGTTTTGAACTAAATATTAAGTGGGATTTTAAAACAAGAATATAAGTTATACATGATAATATAATTGTTTGGGCTTTAATAATACAATTGGAGTGTTTAAATTTATAGACAACCTTATAATGAATTACAGAATAAATTTATAAAAATGTCTATAAAATTTCCATTGTAATATTAAAAAGAGGATTTAATGGAAACAATTATGTTGTATTAGTTCAAGTTTGACTTTCCATTAATTAAGATCAGAATTCAAGTCTATTTTGTTTAAATTAATTTCTTAAGATGCTTCTTGTTACTGGAGTCTTACATTTTATGACTGTCATTAGCCTTATCATAAAAGAAATAATAATGTTAACCAATAATATGTCAAGAATTCTTCCTAACCAGAGGTATCAAAAAAATTGTTATGAAAGAATTGGTTAATGTTTTTGGAAACCTTTTAAGTGATATTTAACTGAACTGTCTTTATCTTTTGTTTTTCACTTGTTTGTTTGCGTGTGTGTGAATGTAGGATGATTCACCTCCACTTCTTTTTAATAATATTGTGCTGTTTTGTTTAGTACTCCTTTCTGTTTCCCAATACTTTCATACATTTTATGTGTATGGTAGTTTTTTAATACTATTTTTGTTATGTAGTTGTTTTTCATTTAACATCATCCTAGAGAGGATAGTGTGTTCTCTTTTCTTTCTCTCTCCCTATAGTCTTGGGTTAAAGCTTTTCAATGTTCTTCAGTCTATTAGGGAGAGGATTCTTATATTCACTGCTACAACTGTAGAGGATGATGTAGATCCAGTTCTGGATAATTCTTTCTTTAAGTACTGTCTTGACCTTTGTTTACTGGTTATATACTCTAATTTTGCCACATAACTTGACTTAATTTGATAAAAACTATGAATCCTTACATGCAAGATAGGCTTTCTGGTTTGACACATTGTTCATCCATTTACTAGCATATCTTGATGTAAATGGATAGTACATTCTTTGAGGGATATCAATATATTTTGTCAAAAATTGATCAATTTTACTCATTGATAGGATCTGATGGAATATTGATAATTAAAATTGTACAAATGATTACATTATTTGATAACAGGTTTAATAAGAGGCATTCTGAACCTTGGTAGTTGACAATACCCCTTTGTATGTATGTGATAGATTTCTCTGATGTTACATTAGCTTGTTCTTTTAAAAAATGGAAAGATTAGAAAATAATTGTACTTCCTGTTAACAGGGGTGCCTCTACTATAATTTTAATTCTACAAAATCTTTCAATTTTTATTCTTAAAACTGAAAATAGGTTTCCTTTATTGATGGAAAATAATTTTTAATCTATTTTACCTATTGCAGCTACTTATTGATTTTTTCTACCATGCATAGATTTGTTGTTTTTTTTTTTTAACCCAATACTTTCACTTTTTCCACAAATTAATCAAAACAATATCAATCAAATAAATCAAGAATTTTATCATGGATAGTTTCCATATACCTCAAAAATTTTATTTCTATTTAAAACAAGAGAAAATAATTTCATTTTTATCTACTAGAAAATATAATTGTATTATAATGAAAATTATATAATTTTCATTGATTTATTGGTAAAAATTAAATCTATCAAAATTTATCTTATTTTGAAATGAAACAAATTTACAAACACAGGTGCTTATCCAGTCTTAATATGGCTTTTAGTATTGAACTATCACACCAAACAATATTCCTGCTTTCAGATTAATGGAGAATTATCTTCAAAAATATTTTCATTACAATAGACAAAAATTAAGTCATAAATACATGATTAAAATAATTGTGCAAATTTTACAGGCTTATTACAAAATACATGAGGTATAATGATCAAAATTCATATTTTAAAAATTCATATTTTAAAAATTCATATGTATTCACTAGTATATGGTTAAATTATTTCCTACATGAAAAAAGAAAACGTTTTAAAAATATTGCACATTCTGCAATACTTAATGCTTTCATTCCACAAATTGAGAAATTATTGAGAAAACTGTGTTAACAACAGGAGCAATTACTAAAACAATATATATTATTATTTTAATGACAAGAAACATTACTAACAATATAAACTATGATTGGTCATGAGTAGTGTGAAATTTCCTGCACAATCATACTGTTATCTATAAAATGTTAATTATTAGTCCCTGTTGTATCAAAAATAGTTCAGAAATTTACTGGATTTTGTCTCTAAGTATGCATATTATTAATATGCAATTTATATCCGGGAAAAAAAAACTCTTGCACTATAAAAATATTTTCATGCTTTTTTTCAGTTTATTTTAAGAAGTTTTATTTCTTTTTTTGCTATTCATCAGATTGTTGGTTTAGGGAATAACAAATCATCTCAGACTCGACACAGTGTTGGCCTGCAAGTACTTGATTGTCTTGCTGATAAGTTGAACCTTGACTGGGTAGATGATATTGATAATGTTGCTGGACATTTTGCTATGCGTAATCTTGATGATGTTAGTCTTATTCTCCTCAAGCCACAATTGCCAATGATGGTCAATGGAACAAGTGTCTCCAAAGCAGGTGAACAATTTGTTCATTTTCTTTTATTTCAATAATACCACTTCAGTCTTTAGATATTTCTTTCTGCACTGTTTATGCACTCCTTTTTCAAGTACGGTATTTAAATATGCAAATTTTCTTTGTATAGAGTTTTGTTTTCATTTTGCTATTTAAATAGGTTTTAAAAAGAAAAAAAATTTTAGAAAAGCAAAATACAAAATGGGATCTTTTTAAAAACATGCATACTGTTTGTCTTTGCCACCAATGCAGAGGGTTTTGCACTTTGCAAAGTACATTTTATCATTTAATAGAATTGAATACAAAATTAAACTGTTTTTGTAATCTCTCTAAATTTTCAAATGCATATTTCTGTCAACTTACAAGAATTATATTAGTTTAAAATAAATATGGTTTGGTGATTAGAAATATATATTTTTAAGATGGCAAGATGTACATTAAATGTCAAAGAAGACTTCCACTAAAATTATAAAAAGGTTTTCTTCTCTTGAAATTCCACTTTAGAAATCCTGTTTTTTTCTGTTGTATGAAGTCAGTATCAGTCAGTAATTTGGTCCATTTTAAATTTCTGTCATTCATGAATCATTTGTGTAGAGCAGGGGTTCCCAACCATTTTTGCATTATCACCCATTTTCACATGGAAACATTTTCCACCATATAGTAAATATTCAAAAGCATACCAAAATCATTTGTTACTGATTCATAAATTGACTTTATGACCTAGTAAAAAAAAAAATACCAAAGGTAATAAATAATGCTGACTTATATGGCTGCTGCTGTTAAAGAACATACAAAAGTCAACTTGACCATTGAAAAATATATATATATATATATATATATATATATATATATACTTACTGTTAGCATTGCAAATGTTCCCAATAAATTTAAAAAATTTTTGTCCATAATTATAAAATAAAAAGCATATACACTACTAGCAAAAATTCAGCAAATATTTTTGTCGTTATTGGTCTTCCCTTATCAGATTTATATTCCAAAAAAATGTTATTTCTTAAGAACTATTTGAAAGTTGACCCTTCTCAAAAATAGAAAATACCAAAATACTCCTTGTTTGTGGGGATATTTATATCTTATCTAGGAATGTAATCCAGTTATTCCTATTTAACCACCTGTGTTTTTTTTTTGCTGGGGATGGTGAGTATACTAATACTCAAAATCCTATATCACCCACCAAAATTACTATTCACTCACCCTTTTCTGTTCAATTGCTCATTGCCAGCCACCAGTTGAAATCACCCAGATTGGGAAACCCTGGTATAGAGGATTACTAGCTGAGGTACACATTGCTCAGGTGTACATGGCTGCAATTGTATAACTTCACCACCCTGTACCACCCAGTCTAGAAATGTCTGCCTGCATCTGCACTTGCATGCATCATCCATTGGTATATGAAGCTACTCCCCCTTTTTACAGTATGTCCTTCACAAGTGTTTGATTGTTCTTAATAAAGGAGTTCCATCGATAAGACCTTCTTGTGTGGTTGTTGCTCGGGATATAACTGTTTCAATGTTTTAGTAAATTTTCTATGGCCATAATAACTTTCAAATAATATGGCATTGTTCACAAAATTTAATAATGAAATAAAAACAGGGGTGGAGCAGCAGAGCTTGATTCAACTGCAAGTGCAAATGGATGAACACTCCCCACCTCCTTCACACATTTACTGTAAAGCTGGGATTAATAAGAAGTTCTTTGATAATTTTCCCTTTTAACACTTCAGTAATCCTTCTCAAACACTATTTGCATCAAAGATTGTTCACATGCCAACTTAGGATGGAATCACATGAAGAAACTATTGGCTAAATGGCAAAAGTTGATATTGGATGGTACTTTGTCGCAGATTTCATCCACTTAACTGAAATAATCTAAACCAAATCATTCATGCAAGACAATTTGTGTCCTATGTAATTTACATGGCAAATTTGGAAAGCATTGTATGAAAAACCAGTGAGTTATGGCTGAATAACAGGCTTTTTTAAACAGTTTTTCATGTTTTTTGATATGTGGGGAAGTGAGCAGGACTAAAACCAAACTATCTTATTTCTTGCATGATGGCAAATTTTTTTGCAACATGTTTAAAGAAAAATGAATAAAAAATGAAGTTATTAAAGTTTTTAAGTTGTACAAAAAACCAGATGTTTTCAGTTTTTTGCAATTTTTTGTGTGAAGCTAATGTCACAGAAAAACTAATCAAACACTATATAAACCTAGTAACATGAGATATGTTTTGCATTAAGAACATCCGCTCATCAAGTAAAAATTTTGTTCATGTGTAACTTTGATTTGGTTTTTGCAAATAGTTGTACCCACCTTCAGTTTTATTGATTTTTCTGCCAAACCTGGGGGACCTGGAGATTGAAAAGTTGGTCTTAACCTACCTTGGTAAATTTGCAACATGTATGTTTTTTCATTGAAATTGGTCAAGAAATGTGGACATGCATAACTAGTGCGCACACACACACACCTTCTGTTTTATAGACATACATTATATCTGTCTTTCCTTATCTTTGTTGCTTTTCTGATATAGTTTTTTAACAAAAGTGTTGTATTTTTTTATGCCTTCCATCCATCATCTTAACTGAGTTAAGGACAATTAATTGATAATAAATGAATCAATGAAATAAATGTAGGCAATTTTAATACTGAAAAATATTCTTCTCTTCAATTATAATGCCCTTTGCATTATTGTCATATAATATTATTTGAAAATGTCATTTGATTTTTTTTTTTCTTTTTTGACTCATCCAGCTCGTCACTTCTGTGTACCACCTGAAAATGTTTACTTGATCCATGATGATATTGCACACAAAATTGGAAAGATTACCCTAAAAGATGGAGGTTGTGCCAAGTGAGTTTTGCATTTGATAATAAAGTTTATACTAGTGAATTTTTAATAGCTTTGGAAAAGAAATGAATCCAAATCCTCCCAGCTATGGCAGACTGGGCTCTTAAGCTTTGGTATGACAACCAATGTAAGAGAAGGATGATTGAGTTCTAAACTTTTGAAAAGGCAAAAGGAAACCACTACATTTCCCAAGAACAACTGTACTGATTATCATTAAAAGGAATTACCCTAAAGTCATATTTTTAACAAAAAAGAAACTACATTAAAATATTTTTTATAAATATTTTAAATACTGCATGTATAAAATTTTGAATAATACATTTTGTCAGTTTGTAATTGTGAGGAAAGTTGTTAACATTCCATTTTAGTTGGACAACTGAGATCCTTTTGTGTGTTACTGTTTTTGTTACCACCTCTCTGATAATCCATAAAAAAAGTAAATTGTCCACTGTGTCATCTGGGTATGAGTTTCTGGGTATTATAAACCTACCCAGAAATTCATACCCAGATGTCCTCAAGGACACATGGCACAGTGGATAAAGGCATTGGTTAGATCCAGTGACAGACCCAAAGAGTGTGAGTTCAATACCCGGTTAAGGCAGTGAACTTTCATAGGGAAAATTAGCAGGAGATAACTGATAACTGACATCCATCAAACATGGCATGTGGAACTAGAACAGTCTACCCTAGTGATCGAAATAAAGGGTTCAGTTCGAAATTCCAACCACCTGAAAAAGGCCGGAGCGTACAACGGCCAAAACGTTGTGACAAAGATGAGGACAATAGTCCGACTAATGTAAATACTGTAATTTGACATTACCTTTTTATTAAAGATGCTTTTTGCTTTACCTACATTTAGAAAAAAAAATCTTACTATAATTTTTCTGAACATTTTTTTCCAGTGGTCACAATGGAGTGAGGTCTGTACTTCATGCACTTGACACAGAGGTAAGCTAAAGGAAGTAACTTTACTGAAACCAAATTACTTGTGTAGCATGTATATGACTTATTGTTTACTCACAAAACAGTGAATCTTCTGTCAAAAACCAGTTAATGATTTTAGTTTCAGAGCCAAACTTCATCACTTGAAATTTGATACTTTCTCATGGTAAACATTGAATATTTTTCATAATTTTTTTTATTTGTTTTTGTAAACTTCTTAAATTTAAAACCCTTTTTTATTTTTTTTAAGTAGCCTTATTAAAAAGAAGTTTCAACATACTTAGTTTTATATTGTTATGACAATATGTATGATTATCAGTCATAAAATATATAAAATACACATAATTTAAAGATATAAAATGAACATTGAATCATTTCTTTTAATGAAGAGTTGATGTATCAAATATTAAAAGTACAAATCTAAGAGACACTATATTGAAACTGATTTCTTACTATTTTTATCAGTAATGTTTATAACTATTTTTTTCTCATTAGATTAAAAAAATAGTTAGAAACATTACTGCTAAACATCTTCTATTAATATTAAATTTAATATTGAAATGTTTTAAGTGTTATAAAGTATACAATGGGGTGTCAAAATTTTGAATGGAAAAGGTAATTCAATTGGCAACTGCATTTTAATCAGTTAGATAATCCAATATTTTTTGTTTTTTCAGAAATTAACCAGACTGAAGATTGGAATTGATTGTCCCCCTACAAAAGACAAAGTGGCACTTTATCTTAATGAACAATTTTCTCCTGCGGAGCAACAAATTTTGGGAGATGTTCTTGAATTGTGCTTGACAGCCTTATCTCAGCACATGAAAGATAAGAATGGTCTTGATATGATTAAAAGTATCAATGACTTGGCTAAGAAAGTAGAAAGTCAAGATAAAGAAAGAAGAATGAAAACTAATGAATATCCTGAAAAATATTAATGTGCACACATTGTAACTTTAGTTGATACATGTATAACTTTTTTTTTTTTTTTTTTTTTTTTTTTTTTTTTTTAATCTGTTTCTTATATGAGTGAATCTTACTTTGTTTTTCTTTTTACACTGACAATGAAAAGATTGTCTTGTATTTTTTTCTGAATTCAGATTTAAATACCTGTTAAAATATATTTCAAAACATTTTTTAAAAGATATGTTTTCTAAAAATTAAAATTTTTCTTTTATTTACAAATTTAAACCAATGACTTTGTGTAATAAAAATATCAATTTGTATCATTGCTGATAATTAGAATTTAGACAAAATAGTTTTTTCCCCAATTTAATGTTTTGCATAAACCTGTTTTCTTCCATTTTTCTCTTCCTCTTTTGTAAGTATGCTGAGTAATACAGATTTTTAAAACAGTGTATGACAATAATTTAAAATTATTTCTTGTTGGGAATAAGTTCTATGAAATTAGTTTTACTGTAAACATGTATTTTAATATTTTAAATTATTGGGTATGTAGGTGATTTCATAAAAGTTGACAGGTATCAGTTTTTGTTTTTCACATACCAACAGTTTCGAAATATTTGAGGAAGATTATTTCATTCTAAGATCAGTTAAAGTAAATGTGTGTGAAATTTGCTTTTGGATATTAAAATGTACAGAAATGGAAAAGTAATAATTAAAAAAATATAATTAGTATTTCTTTCTTCAGTTAGATTTACTTTGACTTATATTTTTTCTTTCTTCCACTGTATACTCTGAAAAGGTTTATTGGAATTTATTAAATTAAAATACAATTCAAATCTTAATTTTTCTTAAGTTCAGTTTATAGGTATTTCATTTTAGGTATCCACTTTTTGCTTATACTTTACTCTTCTGCTTGTCAACAATGATTTGAATGCCTGGCAATATTATAAATGTGTTAAAACAAATTCCACATTATCAGTTAGCCAACTAGGAAAACTTAACGAGATTTCTATACACTGTTTTTACTTAAATATTTTTTAAAATCATTTTCTAAAATAAAATTTCAATTCTAGATTTGTACAAATGCTATGTAAAGTTTTACTTCATTGACATTTAGAGGTGAACATGAAAAAGCAGCAAAGAAATATTCTAAACAGATTTGAATGGATTAAAACATTCATATTCAATATGAAAATTCTTTTTAAGAGAATACATATAACTGTATTAATTTTTCTAAATAAAATCACAGCATAAATTTGACAAAAGTCATTATTCTTAAATAATAACACTATACAAAATTACAAAAAGCTTATAAAGATCAATATTCAAACAGGTGCAAAGAAAATGTACCAATTAATCTTTTGACTTTCAGCTCAAATTATGTGAATGAATCAATTATATTGCAGGCTGGCACATTGAAATATCTCTCATTGATGCATTGAATAAAAAAAAATAATACTCTATATCTTTCAGTAACTTTTTAAAGAATATGTATGAGAATATACTTTTGGAAACTTCGTTGGTAAAATTTATACAAATTCACATTAAACTTATTAAACATTCTATATTAATGCAAAAAATATTTTTCCTATTAAAATATATAAAAAGAACTACATTTGCATAACTTCATATAATTAGCATCAACTTTTTTTGTTTAATTGGTACCTCAATGTTTACTTTTAAAGTTTTTGTACATTTTACTTTGAAGATAGTCACATTTTGTTCACAGTATATTCATCATAAATTCTTATTAGTTAATTTTATCTACTCTTCAATAAAATGGAAACTAAAATAAACAGTTACTAATTTATACGCTTATAGTTTTAATATTAAAAACCTAATAGTAGGTTTGAAAATAGCTTGTACAATGCAAATCAGGTATCTCTAAATTCTCACAAGTACTAACAACTATTTTCTTAGGGGTACATAATTTTATTATGGCCTTTAAAACAGACATCTTTCATCAAAGATCAAGGAAAAAGAAAATCATGAAGAACAAAAAAATACAGATGACCAGTTTTCATTACTCAGAGTTCAAACAAGAAATTAAAACAGATGTACACAGTGACTAAAAACAGAAAGATTTATGAATGAAAAAAGGATATACACACATATTAATAATATAACAATATATGCATATCCTATAATAAATAAATGACATTGAGACCCCAAAGTAGCAACCTGTCTTGTAAAATCTCTTCATCATAATAAACCTTTGGTTATCACCAAACCTAGCGAAAGTGATGGTATTGTGATTTTTGATTATGATAATTGTGTTTAATAAAATGAAGACAATTTTGAATGACAAGAAGTTTGTTAAACTAGGACTGGTAGATACTTCAAAAAACACTTGCTCAAGTTGCTCAAAAACAAAGTATTTCCTGTTGATATTTATGAGGTTGTCAGGTCAATTGTTTATTTACAGCCCCAATTGGACAAGTTATCCAAGAACCATAAAGAAAATGTTTCTGTACAACTTATTCTGTCTACAGTGGGTTATGTTCAATGTAAATTGGCAAAATGTTTGGTTGGGTTATTTCAACCAGTACTTGAAATGTATATATGTAACTACATTAAGGATTCTTTTTCATTTGCTAATTTTGTGCAGAATTGTTTGTTCAGATCTGATAAATGTATGTGCTCTTGATAGCAGCATTGTGTTGACTTGTATTCTTAATGAAGTAATTGATATTTGTACTGATCTTCTTTATTGTAGTAATTTGTCTCCACCTTGTATTCCTGCAGCCAACTTGGGTTCATAAATTTTGCTTCAGTTGAATACAGTTTCAGTATCATGTACAAACAAATTGATGGGATTTGTATAGGCAGTCTATTGGGTCTATCAATGGGTAAGATTTTTGTGGGATTTTATGAACAAAATTTATTTACTCATATTAGAAGACAATTGTTACTTTCAATATCTTGACATCTTTTGGTCTTTGATCATGAGTTGGAGTCAGAGGTTTTCATGAAGCATTGAATGCATTAGATTTAGATCTGATTTACTTGTATAAAGGAGAGTAATGGTGTTCTCTTTTTGGATTTTTCATGTACAAATCAGATTCAATATTTTAAAACTTCAGTGTACCACAAGCCTACATTTACCAAAATATATACCCATTGAACTCATTTTGTCATAAGCAACAAAACCTAAACCTCATTAAGACTTTAGTCCATTATGCCCTAATAATTTGTTCAAAGATTAAAATAGATTTCAAAATTAAGAAAGTCTTATGTGATAAGTACACTCCTTGATGTTATGCAATCCTGCATTTGTGCTAAGATCACACAATTTCATAAACGTAAATTTGGGGGTCCTAATAAATGTTTGTTAAACAAATCTCTAGTGTAAAAATATTATTTGGCTGCTAATATGCATAGTGTCTTCTTTGTGGATTGATCTCAGCATTGATTGGGCAAAGATGGTAATCTACATACTTATAATAGTTCCATTATTTTAAATGTCAGTATGATGCAGACTCTTTAGGTAGAACTACTCAAAATTTGGAGAAGGAGTAACTTGCTAGCTTGAAACCATAAGTGTTAATTTCATAATTTGCATAGGTACATGAATATATCTGGGTGTGCAATAATAGGACATCAAATAAATTATCTTCAGCGTGCTATATCCTACTGTGAGAATGTTTTTCAATTGTAAGCCAGTCACATTGACTTTCATTTGAATACATTAAATCTTTACTCTGTAAACAGATGGAGTGGCTCTTGGATCTCAGTACAATTTGTTTATTATATGATTTATATGCATGTATTGGTATATTATTAATATATGTATGTATCCTTTCTCCATTAAAAAGTTTTCCCTTATTTTAATCACTGTGCACATCTGTTTTAAGTTCTCAATCAAGTCCTGAAGAGAGAAATGAAAATCAGTTAACATTTTGTTTGGCCTGTTTTTCATTCTTTTTAATTTGCCATTAGTAATTATAAGCTTTTCTTCCTTTTTCTTCTTCCTTGCTCTTCAATAGACTGTCTTTTTATAGCCCTAACAAGTAGTTAGTAACATTTTATACAAGATTCTAACAGCAACCTTTAAATGATATTGTTAAAGAATATTCTAATTACATTAGAGGACACACTGTGATTTTATGTGATCCTCTTAACAGAACATAATACTTTAATGTAAAAAAAAAAAAAAAAACTGAAGAATTTGCTTAGAATAGAAGAATAATGAAAAATAAGCACCAAAAATATATTGGAATCTGATTCAATAAAAGAATAAAATATCAAACAAGATTTTGGTAAAAGAATCAACAGCAAAAAAAATTTCTCAAAGACAAATACATGAATAATATTCAGCAAAATATTTTGGAACCTTATTGAAGTGAATTGAGAACAGTAGACAACCAGGAAATTAATGGTGATGGTAATATTAGCCGTTTTCTTAAATGGAAATATTTTGCATTCATTGACAGAGCTGCAAGTGCTACTTTCAGTTGAAATTTATAAAAGCTTTCTCTTAAAACAATGGTTCAGGAAAATGGGTTTCTCAAGTTCAGTAACGATTATTATTCTTTTAAATATTGATGGGCTTCATTACTAACCTTTTGTTTGAAGCAATGTGGAACATTAACATCTTGATTTTTCTCATTTTCTCTTCAAGTTACATGTGTTATCTATTTAAGTTGTTGTTACTTTTTGAAAATCCCCAAGTAATGTGATTTCTGTTATTTGGTACATTTCTTTGTGATTCTTTCGCACTGATCCACAAGTTCTGAAGAAAAAATAGTCCTTGCTAAGCCCTACAGGTTTCATTTGCTCAAAGTCATTTTTAACCATCCATCTGAGAAAGCAGTTGTATACAGCAGACAGTTTACATACTTCTGAACAAGTTCAGCACCATGCATAACATCCATATGAAAATTTTGATCTGACGAGGCTATTTAAGAACATGACTAATTATGTTTTGCCTTTGCAGCAATTTGTGGTGTTGTGCAAAACTGCCTTTAACACAGCCTATTCTGTGTTCAATTTCCTATACTAATTTTGTTACAACTGATCCATACACCAATGTATTTGAAGTGTTTGGCATTTCCTAATTCCACATCCTAATTTTTTTATAATTGATTCAGGGAGGTACCATCACTGCTTTCATTCCAGTTCCAGATCATAGTTTGTTTTGAAAAGGTTTATTTTGAGTCCTATTTCTATTATGGCTTTGTACAAAATCATTTAAAAGATGTCAAATTCTTTGAAAAGCAAATGAGCATTGAAATTAATGAATCTGCAGAGTATAGAGATAATCCTGACAGACAGAAATGAAAAAAGGTGAAAGGAAAAAATTACTTCATGTAAAATTTAAGAAAAGAACTACAGATGAAATGATATAGTTGCACAGAAGTCAGTGGAAAAAGGGAAACAAAATCTCTAGTAGCAACAACTTAAATTATGCAAAAATGAAAATTCAATAGAACATAATAGCAAATGTCTCTAAAGACAGACACACATCTGTTAATCATGCATGAATGTAATAAACTGAACATTAACAGTAATCCAGTGGAAACAGTAAACAATGCTGATTTGATCATGTAGATAAATAGTAAAAGAGAAGTAAAATTCTTTGGGAGAGTGAAAATTCAGATAGACTACTCAATCTGAACATGGAGACTAGATCTAGTCATTGTAACCAAAGATTTCACTAATCTAAGGGTGAAACTGGAAGATTAAAAATCTGGGAAAATATAATTGATAATTGTACATTATTGGAACAATTGAAAGAATCTTAGAACCTTGCTAAAAGTTGCCAAGAAGAAGCAATATTAAAATATCAGCAAGATTATTAAAGAATATGCTGGAATATTGAATGTAATTGTCATTTGAACCACCAGATGATATAAAAAATCAAACTATTAGTACCACTAACAATAATCCAATACTGTTGTTTCTCACCACTTCACAAATTGATAATTATGGGTAAAAAAAAAAAACCTTCCAAATTTCTATAATTGGAAGACCAAAGGTGTCAGTCACAAGCTTTGATAAAAAGTGACATAGTGAAGCCTGTGACTAAGACTAGGGGTAATAAAAAGAGATATCTATGGCTGTACTAGTTTTGAAAGCATTTGTGGTAAAATTGGCAAGTGCCATCTAATTCTACTGAAATATGAGCTTGTTTTTCCCCATTTGATATCCAGGATATTGGGCATAGAACATAGGATAAACAAGAAACAAAGTTTTATCATTTCACATTGAACAATTTCATCAGTTTGCATTGCGGTGGCCCTCTTGATGCTGAAGTGCTAGCTGCTTAAAAAGCAGGAAAGACTGCACAAAATACTCTTCCTTCATTTTATTTTCTTTTAAGTGAGCTTTCTGGCCAATTTCTATGTGTGTTCTATGATCAAATCCACATCAACATGACCTGTACTTAGTTGTGTGGTGTAATGAGTTGGTTTTTTTTTTGTCTCTTCCTTTAATCACATCATGCATGCACCAAATAAGAAATACATTTTCCTTGGTCAAGCTATATTTCTGAATATGTTACACTACTTTTTAATGAACAATATAAACAGAAAATATGATAAAAAGCAACAAAAAGATAAAAATCCTATTAAAAAAATGTTTAATAATGAAAATACTTCAAGTCAAAATTAAGGAAGATTCAGGATAAAAAATTGGTGACAAGTTCCAAAGGATGAGCAGAAAGATAATAAATATTTTTTAAATCAATTTTGTTTTAATTATTTATATTTTTAAATTCTACAGCTTTTTTAAGCCATAAGAGACCATATTTAATAAAATTCTACAGAGAAACAATTGGGGTTAAAGATAAGATTTTACAAAAGTACAAAATAAACGATACAAATCATTTTTGAATTCTGAAAAAAAAATTGGAGTGTTCCATTACAAATATTAAACATGAGCCTTAAAAATGATATGAGAAATGTTAGCATTAAATGAAAAATAACAAATTGATTATATTTGGTGCACAGCTTTACTGCCATACATACATTCATACTTCCATACATACATACATGGGAGTAGAAACATACAGATGTTATAGAGTGGTATTTAACAAGAGAAATTAGAATTGTAGGAAAATACAAAATATACACATACAAATAAAATGTTTGGTTTGTTGAATTAAGTTGTACATATATTGTTCTTTTTATTTCATCATTATGTTGTTTTCCTTTGAGAATGCAAAAAAAAAAACAATAAGGACAAATCACTACATCTGGAAAATGTATTCAACAACAGATAACCACACAAGCTACTACAGGAATTGTGGCATTTTTTTTTTCTTAAACAGCAGAAGACTTTCTTCTTGATTTCTTACTAATTAATAACTACAGGCAAAAGGATGGGGCAGGGTTGAAGAGAAGTGACTCTCACAGCTGCTTTCTGAAGATTCAAAATTGAATCAAATTTTGGGTAAGGAAGGATTCAGTGGATGGGTCAAAGTCAAAAGAGAAAGGGATCAATTAGACAAATGGCTCTGGCAAAAGTCATAGCTATTTACCTATAAATACATGTATGCAATATGCTTAAAATGTATACATGACTGCCTAAATGAGGGTCTAGAATTCTTTTATTATTATAATTTGCTTGATATCTTTATAGTTAATACTATTGCAATGACAATAATCTGATTTATATCAATTGCTCTTGCTAAAAACAAATGAGAATAAGCATATATGTGTATTTGTCTGTGTGTGAGGAGCAAATCAGAAATGTTTTTTGCTATAGCAAAATCCATTTCTGATTTGTTCCTCACAGAAAATGCTTTTTTTTTCTTTCCCCATCCACACTTTGTGCCAGTAGTGTCAGATCACCACAGACATGACTTTATTTTTCATAAAAACTAATTTTATCATACATGCACACATTCAAAAATTTAAATTACAATGATGAGTTTTATCCTGACCTTAAATAGAACAAGAATATTGTTTCTATGCAGGATCAATGACGCAAACAAAACCTGGTGAATTATAACACCATGAAATCATTAGCCCAGTAGGTTACAATTTGATATTCCCTCAAAAATATTAAAACAAAGAACAAAAGTTAAAAGATACAAATCATTTAAATTGTGGTTCTGCAAGTGTTTTCAATCTGAATTCATTATGTATGGATGTTTTTGCTTGTTGCAACTGTGTGAGTATGATTTAACATCATTGTCCTTCTCTTCCAACATGGATTTTGTGATGTAAGCCTAATTAGTCATGACCATGTGTGTATATGGAGAAAGAAACATACACTCACAAACACGTGTGTGTGCATGTGTGTGTGTGCGTATAATAAATACATATTCAAGGCATTGATAGTGTTAGCTGTATAATTTCAGGCTGAGAACTTGAATGACTGGTATCATAGCTTAATGCTAAAATTGTTCTGTATAAATTATGTATACATATAAGTAACAGTCTGTATGCATGACGCTTCTGTTGCAGATATATGGAGAGGACAATAAATAAAATTTTAAAAAGGGAAGAAAATTAAAGTCAAATATAATTTAGGGATTCTCTGTGTGTTTGTGTGTGTGTATAGAAAGTAGGTGGACCTTTGAAGAAATAGATAAGTAAATGGGATTTTAATGAACTTTAAATGTTATTAAGTACAGAAATTATGGAAGGGGAATAATCTCAGAAAAATTCAAGGAACATGGACAAGGAAAACTGGTTTGAAAATTTCAACTGTACATCATCATAATATTTGTTCACTTGATTCAGTTTACACAAAATGCAACAAAAGAACATTTCAAATATAGCATGACACATTTATAAAATATGCACTAATCAAATTTTATTGCAAAACATCTTTTAACAATTTTGCCTCAGGTATTTCATTTACTTGGGGCAATTAAAAACAAAACAAAAATGACTAAAGTTAAAATGAATATTTTTCAACTGAAAGAAGATCCATTGTCAAATAATATCTCCAGGGTTATATTTTTAAAAAAAGTTGTGGGCTACAAACAAAATGATAATACTATAGAAAAAATAGTGCTTTCATTTTGCTTGCTTTGTTCAAATATCTTACAAAAACTGTAAAAAGAAT